AGTTTATATCTTTTACCTCGTACAACGCAGTGTGACTACAAAGTAAGCACTTATCAATTCATTACGTTTTCAGTCAAGTGATAATATTAGGTTGAGGAATAAGTTCGTAGCTGATATTCCCTTATATTTTCAACAATGTTTTGCTGTTCAAGAGAAGGTATAGTAATTTTTCGTTAGAGCATTTTCCGCTCTACAAAACAGTGGTAATCGTCTTTTTGAACAATTTTGTCTCTCATTACTTTGGAGGCTTAATGGAGTATCCAACGGTAAAAATAAGCGTTTTCGACACCTGCTGTTTTTCGCATTTCATAGAGACCAAAACGCTGCTAAGGCAGTCCGGAAGATTTGCAACACATACGGAGAAGGTGTTATAGTCGAGTCTACAACACGTAGATGGTTTGCGAAGTTTCAGAATGGCAATTTTGACATGACACGACCTGCCGAATTTTGGCGAAATGGCATCGACAAATTGGTTGAGAGGTGGGAAAAGATAGTAAACAGCAATGGCGAATACATTATCAGTAGATTTATTGCTAAAACCATTGATTTAAAGTTTTTGAAAAAAAAACCCTACGAACTTATTCCTTAACTCAGTATAAATATTTAGTCTTATTATAGAATATTAGCAGTAGTAAGAAGTCGAATTAATAACTCTGGCCTCTTAGTCCCACATAAGCTATAGCAAACCAATTCGAACTTTAAGTGATGTATTTTTAGCAGCGTTTATCAGATAGAATTTCTTTTAGGAATTCGTTAGAAATGGTGTCTTGAACATATTGTTTTGGTAGGCTAAGAATTTCGTGTAGTAGTTTCATTTGCAACTCACAAGAAGCACGATCTTTCGATAATCTGCAATTTTTTAAATTGACTTGTATGCTTACCACATTCGTAACTACTTTACCTATGCTGAAAGGAATGATAATAAGAGAACTTCTTTGATCCATCTAAACTTTTTCTGCTAAATTACTCTTTGCCTAAAAAAATTCTGCTGGAGACCAATAACTTTTCAGTGTAGTGTCAGTATAGTTTAAATCAATTTGTTTTCAC